TTTAAGTGAAAGCTGATTGTCAATCATACACATTCAAGAGGTGGGGCTTTTAAATAAAAGCCAGATATGATGAGACCACAAAATCATGAGTTTGTCAACAACGTGGAAGTATGTGAACAGGGAGCTATTTTTTCCAAGCGGATCCTGCATTTCCGCCCTCTATCAACACCGCTGCCCACCTTGAAACGCTTACATGAGAGATTCTCTCCCTTCCAACTTCAATGGAGAATTGCTTCCATTCACTTGTGTATGTTGCTTCTGTAAAGGATACTTCCCTAAGTGGAGCAGCAGAACCATGACCGAAGATCACAGTGTACTTTCTCTTCCTCCTTCTGTAGCGCTGCACATCATATGTTGGTAGCTGAAAGTTAGTTTCATGTGGTTGAGGGTTGGTCAGCAGAGGCAAATAGGGATCTAGGAGCAAAAGGAGATGGAAACAAACACACAAACCAGAAAGGGGAGAGATGAAACAATAACAGCAAATTGCTTAGTTTTAGGGTTGAAATTATATTTCTCTGGCTAACAGTCTGATTGCGTGTGGCACTTGGGAGTGAGTGAGTGAGTTGTTAGTCAGAAACTGACACTCAACCCAGGCTCCCTTTGTGTTTAATTATCCTTCTTTCCTGCTCCAGTTCAATGCATTTCAGATAATACTACCTGTCTGCATGCCTCCATCCCTCCTCCTCAGACATCCATGAAATAAAGCGTAGGTCAATATACAGTAATTCGTTCATTGTATAGGCAACTGGTGAAGATATTCTTTTGCGCGGAGTGGAGCTGAGTAAAACTGTCAGGCCCCACTTTCTGGTGTGCACGCGTGAGGGGGTGTCACTGTTTCTATCCTGGCCTGGTGCAGAATATGGCTCCTGACCTACAGGACTGGGCCCAGCTCCCCACTCCAGCGGCTTGGCTCTTGCTGCTCATAGATTTGTTGTTGTGATGGGCTCTTCCGGATGAGGCGGAAGAGGTAACCATCTGACCACACCTCTCTAATATTTGTTATTGGACCAACTTCTAAAATTTTTCAGTCTTAGCCAGGTCTACACCAAAACCCCCGTAAGCGGACATAGTTAAGATGACCTAACCCCCCAGTATAGATAGTGCTTGAATGCCTTTATGACTGGAGTTATGGAGTTTAGTTGTGCACTATGCAACGATACACCAAACGAAAAGGTGCTGTGAAAAGGGTGCAGGCTGGCGGGGGAGGGGAAGAGAGCAACTAGACAGGATACCAGTAAGACGTCACATATTGCTGGCTCACTGTAGACTTCTTCAAAGTAGCCTTTAGTTTACATTGAGTAAAATTCCCTACAAAGGGAGCCAACTTTAATTAAAAACAAACAAAAACCCCACCCCTCTGAATTATAGTTGCAATTTAAATTGGGTGCAGGATTTTAACCCAGCCATCAAATTGCCACTGCTAACAAATTTGTTGACACTACAGCCTGTGTGGATAAAATTCATGTCACTCAAGGGTGTGAATATTCCACTCCCCTGAGTGACATAAGTTACACTGATGTAAGCGCTCATGTGCACAACACTATGTCGATGGGAGAGCTTCTCCTGCTGACACAGTTTCTGCCGCTCGCGGCAGTGGGTTTTTTTATGTGGGCAGGAGAGCTTTCTCCCATCGATATAGAGCATCTTCATAGATGCGCCGCACCACTGCTGCTGTATCAGTACATCTGCGATGCTGCAGTGCTGTACATATTGACATGGCCTAATTTTAAATTCCTGTCTTGTTTGTGTAGAGCTGGTTGGAAAATTTGTTTAAAAGTGAAAATCTTAAAAGCCTTGCATTCGTTTACAAAAGTGATTAATTTGTGTGACTGAAAATTTGTATAGTATTTTTATAGATGATTTTTTTCCTTTTCAAAAGCACATTTAAAAATTTTCAAAATAGCTATTCAAAAATAAATTTGATTTTGAAGAAAAAATCCCCATTGTTTGACTAACCTGACCAATCTAAATTGGTAGTACATTATGAAGAACAGAGTAAATTTTTAAAATTGAAAAATTTCAAAAAAAAATCCAAGACGTGTTTTTTTTTGGGAGAAAAAGGGCCTGGTCCTGCAGACTTGAATACATGGATGAATAACACTAACCTCATCTGGATTCCTGACATGCATAAAGTTTAGCACCTGTGTAATGGTTTGCACATCGGGGCCTAGACATCGGGGGGGGGGGAGGGGGAGTTGTTATTTCAACTAAGTTTTGACCTGCTTTGCTTATGAGCTTGAAACTAGGCAAACAAGGGTTAACTATTGTCTTTGTCTTAGATAGCTGGATAAATTAAAGAGTTGGGTTGAGTCATTTAAATAATATTGAATAGAACTAAGATTCTTCATCAGTTCCTCCTGCAAATTCAGAGGTCCTGCCCTTTTCTTTTTGAGTCTTATGTTAAATATTCTAGATATAGTGGAGATAGAGGCTGAATGGTGGTGGTGGTGGGGGGGGAAGCAGGCATTTCATTAACTTACAAATGAACTTGGATACAGAATCTGTTTGTTTGAAAATCAATTAAGTTTAAAATTCAAAGGAAAGGAGTGATGCTGAATTGGACTAAGACTCTTCATTCTTTCTAGGTACTAAATAAGCAAGCCCTGGTCTACACTACAGAGTTAGGTTGACATAAGGCAGTTTACATCAACCTAATTCACACTAAAAAGTATTTCCCACCGATGTAACTCGCCCACTACACCAACTTAATAACTGCACATACGCGAGAGGCGTAGTGTTTAAGGTGGTGTAATTAGGTCACCGCAGTGTCAGTGTAGACACTGCATTACTTGCATCAACTGTTGCTGCCTTTCAGAAGCCTTCCCACAATGCCCCATACTAATAGTTAAATTGGTGCAAGCTTTCCTGGAAAGGGTGCAGACAATTGATACAAGGAGTGTAGTGCAGACATGCAAAAGTGATTTAATTACTGTGGTGGCTATATGTCGACTTAATTTTGCAGTGTAGATATACCCTAAAGCAGGGGAAGGCAAACTTTTTGGCCCGAGGGCCACATCTGGATATGGAAACCGTATGGTGGGCCATGAATGCTCACGAAATTGGGGGTTGGGATGCGGGAGGGGGTGAGGGCTTCGGCTGGGGGTGTGGACTCTGGGGTGGGGCCAGAAATTAGGAGTTCAGGATGCGAGAGGGGCAGGGGGTTGGGGTGCGGGGGGGGGGAGGTGAGGGTCCTGGGGTGGTACTGAGGATGAGGGGTTGTGGGTGCAGGATGGTGCTCCGGGCTGGGACTGAGGGGTTTGGAGGGTGGGAAGGGGATCGGGGTGGTACAGGGGGTTGGAGCACAGGAGTGGGTCAGGGATGCATGTTCTGGGGGGTGCTTACCACAAGCAGCTCCCAGAAGAAGCAGCAGCATGTCCCCCCTCCAACTCCTATGTGGAGGCACAGCCAGCCGGCTCTGCATGCTGCCCTGTCCACAGACACCACCCCTGCAGCTCCCATTGTCCATGGTTCCTGGCCAGTGGGAGCTGCGGAGGTGGTGCTTGAGGTGGGGGCAGTGTGCGGAGCCTCCTGGCTGCCCCTATGCATAGGAGCAGGAGGAGGGACATGCTGGTGCTTCTGGGAGCTGCGCAGAGTGGGGCAAGCCTGTGACCCTGCTCCTGGCTGGAGGGAGGCAAGCCCCGGACCTCACTCCCCAGCGGGAGCTCAAGGGACAGATTAAAATGCCTGGAGGGCCAGATGTGCCGTAGTTTGCCCACCCCTGCCCTATAGGCTGGTATCAAGGGAGTAGCTCCCAAGGGAGAAATAAGTTTAAACTATTTGAAGGAGTCAAACGGAAGGTCATCTAATTTATTTGGAAGTCTCCAGAGAAAACAGGGCTGGGGTCAGTGACAGAAAGAGGGTGAAGAGTCCAATCTTTGTGGTGACAGAGGCACTCTTCCTCATAACTAGCTGCCATATAGTCTCTTAAGACCTAGTGGAGTCACTCAATGATGAGTTAATTGGAGTTACAACTTGAGAATTGCTCCTGACTTGATTCCTGTTCACATAGAAACACTCTTAACTACATTGTGGAGGTGCTTTTAACTCTACTTGTTCGCTCAAGAGAGAGTATAAGCTACCTATATCTTGAGTGACCTCTACCTGTAAGTCAAGTGAACATGATTCATCTGTTACTAACACGACCACTCTGTAATGAGGACATGTCTGCGTAGGCACCAAATCCCTGGAGCACCCACACTAAAAAATAGTGGATGCTTAGCACCCACCGTCAGCCAGCGCCTCCTGTCCACTGGTGGCCCTGCCAATTAACTCCTCCCTCTCTCTCCCTCCCAGCGCCTCCCACCTGCTGCGATCAGCTGTCCCGTGGTGTGCTGGGGGGGAGGAGGCAGAACTGTTTGGGGAGAGATGGGGTGGAATGGGGGCTTGGGAAAAAGGGTGGGATCGGGCCGGCTGTGGGGGCGGAGTGGGTGTGGGCAGAGGTGGGGAATTGGGGGAAGGGATCGGGTGGGGGTGGGTCCTGGGGTGGAGCGGGTGGTTGAGCACCTTTAGGGCCTGGATGAAGCCAGTTCTGGTGCATGTTCACATGCTGCTAGTCCTTCAATGCCTTCCCACAATTCTCTCTCTGCACTTGAAAAGGACAGATGTGGTTTCGCACAATTCACAGGTAAAGAATTCATAGAACAGTTTGGATTACTGCAGCACTGAGAACCATGAGATATGCTACACATGAATGAATACAGCACCAGTACAGACACTGCAAATCTTTTGCAGTGTGGCTGCTCTTACTCGAGCAAGGCTAACTCGAGAGGAGTAACTTGTCTGTAGGTAAATTTGAGTTAACTCTGCAGTGAAAACATACCTTTAGGTGCTTTTGAAAATCCCACCTCTAGATAACAAGAGGTGAAATTATTGTGCAAAGCCTTTCAAGTCATTCAAGACTTAATTTGAAGCCCAGAATAATTGATCTACATGAAAGTCAACCATAGTCTCTTGTAACTTAGCATTTCATTTTAAATTTTTGATTGATTATTTTATTTTAGAGAAGACAGCAGCCTCTTCCATCTCTGATCTACGATGAGTGCCAAAGCTGCTATCAACAAAGAAATTTTCGCCCCACACGATGAAAGGATGCTGGGAGCTGTCCAAGTGAAAAGGAGAACGAAGAAAAAGATCCCTTTCCTAGCAACTGGGGGCCAGGGTGAATATTTAACCTACATCTGCTTGTCAGGTAAGATAAATAATTTTGACATCTAGCCATCCTTTTGGTTTATCTTTGAAGTTTGATTAACGGATTGGCTATCATCTGTTGCTATAGGGAACAGTGTGACTTGCATTTTAATAATGCAAGTGGATGAACTATGATGGTTACATCTTTAATGTTTATAAGTTTGAATGCAGGAAGTGTGTGGTTTGTCATATGATATAGCTGACAGATATTGCTGATTTAGCCGAAGGTTTCACAGTTATTATTAAAACTGTTGGTGGCATAGTTGCACAGTATGAACTTATCCTGTAGTTAGTATACTTGGAAATATTAGGTCTTTGTTAATCTGATTCAGCTATTCCTCTAAGGGATGAACTTTATATTGTACCTGCTTCTCCTGTATTTCCTTCAATTGTCTGAAACTAATACACTCCCTTGTTCCTTTCAAAGATCCCCTCTGTGTATGATTACGTCATTGGGACCATGGCAACTTAGCTGTTTTCAGCTCTGTGAAGAATGTCACTGTCACCTAATTTAAAAAGGGGATGAAAAACAGAAGTATTACTACTGTTTTGGGTGAGGATGGGAAGGATGGGTGAGGATGGGAAGAAAGAACATAAAAATCTCTTTGAGATCGTCATGTAGAAAGGAGAAGGATGGTCTCGTTGTTGCTGATGTGTTTAGGCATGTTTTTAGTATGCATTGCAGTATCTCATTAGGATTCTACCAAGTAGCTAGCAAAAAGGCTGCAAATTTGAGTTTGGGCCAAGGGTAATATGATAACATGGCCTTGATGTTTTCTGCTATTTTAAATTTGTATATTCTTTTCTTCCTACCCTGATGTTAAAGCATAAGTATTATATAGTGCCCTTTTTGCTCACTCAGATTGTGAGAGTGAACTCGATACTGTGACAGCATAATATGTATGCCACAATTTAATTGCTTTCCTCGGATTGACGGGTCTTTTGTTTTGTTTTTAAGCACTGAGATGCTATATATGTGTTGGAGCATAAATAAATATCATTTCAACTACCAAAAGAAGACAGACTTCTTTGTATGGAGATAAAAAAGAGTTATTAAACTATTTGTAAATCCCTGAAGGAACACTTTAAATTTCTGCCCACATTTGAATTTTGTTAAAACAAATTATGATAAATGAAGGCGGGGGTGGGGGAGCTACCTTTTATGGACACCCAGCCAGCCATTGCTATAAAATCCCTCTTAGTAGCTGTTATCTAATTGCTCTATCTGTAAACGGTTAAAAAGTCTCAATTCTATGCATAGGTAAAAGGAAGTGAGTGGGCCTGGCCAAAAGAGCTAATGGGAAGGCTAGAACTTTTAAAAATTGAACAAAGACTCCCTTTTGTCTGCTCTCAGGGAGAGGCAGTTATGCTGTGAGAAGCTTGGATCAGGTATGAGAAATCGTCAGTAGATACCTAGAAACTACTCATCTAAAACCACAGATATGTAAGTAGATCAGGAAATGTCTAGGAAGACGCGATTAGGTTTATCCCTTTTATTTCTCTCTGGCTTGTGGATTCCTCCATGCTAACCCCAACGCTTTTGTTTTGCTTGTAACCTTTAAGCTGGACTTCAAGAGAGCTATTCTTGATGCTTAATCCTTGTAGTTGTGAGGTTTTTTTTGTTTTTTGTTTTTGTTTTAAATCTAGCAAAAGCCTAAGTTCCCAGATGTATTTTCTTTTTTTATTATAAATAAAATTTACTTTTTTTTAAGAACAGAACTGGATTTTTGTGTCTTAAGAGTGCACATGTTGTTTAACTAGCTGGTGGCAACAGCTGATTTCTTCCGCCCCCCTCCCCCCCTCAGCTCTTCCCCGGGCGGGGATGTGTGTGTGTGTGTGTGTGTGTGTGAAAGGGCTCGAGGGTACTCCAAAAGAAGGAATTCCCAAGTGCGCCTTCCTGGGTTCTCAAGGGGGTTCTGCACTTGGGTGGTGGCAGCATCTACCAATCCAAGGTCAGAGAAAAGCTAAAACCTTGGGAGTTTAATAAAAACCTGAGTGGAGAGATTCTAAATTTTTAGAATCCTTGCGGGCCCCCACCTTCTAAATTTGAAGTGCCAGAGTGGGGAATAAGCCTTGACACAAATAAACGAAACCAAACAAGCTTTCATAAAACTGAAGACCAATAGAAAGGATTCCACAATTTAAAAAATACCATTTTCATTTATTTTACTTTTTAACAAATATTCCCCAGCAGCATGTTAAAGAGCAAAGAAGTGATTCATTGATTTTTTTTCATTGTTCCTGTTGCAAACAATGCAAAAACTAAGCCAGATGTATAGTAACAGTACATTGGATTTCCTTTAACCTTTTGTCTCTGACATAACTAAGTCGACACCCTTTAAATAGAAAGGTATGAAATAGAGTGGATTTTCGTTTTTGCTGTTGCCTTTTTATGAACATTCTTTGATCTAAAGTGATTGGTTTAAAATAAAAAGTGTTTTAGTTTTTTGAAGTGGAACTGCCATTTATGTATTCAATACCTTAGAAAAAAATTATAATACTTGTGCACTGTAGGCATTGCAGTAATAGATAACCTAATAGTTGCCCAGAAACTCTTGAGTAATAATGTCCTCTTACTTTTCAGGCTGTGTTGCAAACAGTCTTTCTGTAACTGTTTTTAGTGTACCACTATAAAATCAGGAGCAGCTGGGGGAAACTGCGAGCTGCTTGGAGATGTCAGTCGGATTGATGTCTCTTGCCCAAGCATCTATTCTTACTATTTATATCTCCGTTTGAACAACAAATATAGCAAGAACATATCTGTTTAATATTCTGATTTCATATTATTTTCCCTTAACGCACACTTTTAAACTGTTTGTTTTCAAACTCATGGTGAACTGATACCACCTTCTGGCTAAAATGATATGGCTGACAGCCAAAGAAAGAGAAACCCTGAAATATGAATATGAGATTTAAGTCTGAATTGTGGACTCTGTAACGTTTTCTTTTCAGCTGTTAGTATCATAGGATCTTAGTTTTCATTTTCATTTTTCCTCCATTGCCTTTCTACTGCAATCTTTAAAGGGTTGAAGGAATTGCACTTTTATGCTGAATAATTTAGGATTATCAGAGTGAAATACATATGCAGATGAATTAGGAATATAGTTGTGTAAACACTTTGAAGTATGGTTTAAAATTAGTTTCAGTTATTTGGTTTGACTGGAGAAGAAGTTTTCAGGCCTGATTTTCCTGTGGTCTAACCCTACATGCAAGCTTTGAGTTTTCGTGAAGTTGTCAGGACCTGGAGTAATACCAGTGTTCATATTAGGAAAATACCATTGGAATTTCTCAGTAAACAAGCGTCAGACTTGAAGTGTGTCCAGAGAAGTCTGCTTTTCTTGATGTTTTTTTCCAGAATAATTTCTTTCCAATACAACTTAACTTAAATTACCAAAGTATAAAAAGGCAAAACTTATTAATAACTCTCCTTTTAGCGCATATATGCATAATATACATGTATATATGTTAACGTGTATAGCAAATATATAATGTGCTTATGTATGTACACATAAGGGCCAACCAGACATCAAAAAAAGTCACTATGTATTTAGGTTTGGAAGGATCAGATTTTAGTCGGTAAATGTTGGTAAACATTGATTTCAATGTAAACACACAAACGACGATAAAATATTTCCATCAATTAATAATAGAAATTTACAGACAGGCAAAGTAAGAGCAATGCTGGTTAAGAACTTATTAGAGTTTAAGGTTAGGTATTTTACATGCAATATTGACAATTTTTGTCTTTTTAAGGGTTATAACGGTTTAACTTTTTGAATATCAATGTCTACAGGGGAGTCATACATTAAATAATTGTATGACTCCCCTGTACTGCCTGAGTTCCCCAATTTCCTGCAACTGTGAAAATTTAAATGGATAAATTAAAAACACTTAAAAATGAATGTAGATATACATCAAAATTATTTTTAAAAATAGTGAATTCTGCGAAGCCACTCCTCCCCCACGATATGTAGAAGACATTGGCTGTAGAAGAATTTGCTTGTATTGAACAGGATCCTGGTGGAAAAGTTGAAAACTAGGATTATTTGTATTGTCAGCAAAACCTAACTAGCCAGGGAAGTAAACTTAAATTCACTGTGAAGTTTACCACACTCTAGTGTACTTGTATTTTATTAATTTGTTCTTCTCATTCATTGGATTGGCTTTTATTGATGTTTGTTTATATAAAAACTAAGGATGTTAAAATTATAGTGGAATGTATAAGGACTGAGGTGTCTTACTGCTTTTGTGGGTCTAATTTCCACTGACTAGTTTACTTTGTGCTGTACTAAAGTAATTTTGATAACTCGTTTTTAATGAGAGCTTAACTTGCAAACTGAAACAATCAGCCCACATGAAGTGACTTTTTAAATGATGGTGGTAAATATTCCATGTACAAGAAGTCCCTGCTAAGTCCTAGTGTTGGAATCTAGGTTCTTATATGTACAGAAACCTGAAACTCAATTATGGTAATGTTTATACTATATTCACTGTTCAGGTTGTAGCTTGTGAGTTATATGATGTGTTTAAAAATCAGGTAAACATATTTGTCATTCCAAATGTAAATTCAGTATGTATTGTACAAAACTACTAAGGACCTAAAGATCTCTGTAAAGAACCTCTCTGCTCCATGTCTATAGGTTCCCAAGAGAAGGACAGGTGAGAAGGTTAACTGTTAAACATTACAAGCTGAAGGAGAGGGAGCAAGAAATTACTCTTTAAAATTTAAGCACATGCTTAACTGCATGCTTGAATGCTTTGCTGTATTGGGATCGAAGGCTAGAAAGAATTGTTTATGATGGTATAAGGAGTTGTAATGGATTGAAACTAATTGAAAGGTAATTTAGGAACAGTGTTACAAAGCTGCCTTAGTCTATGTCTACATTATAGCGGCGCAGCTGCACCAATGCCGCACATCTGGTGAAGACACTTTAAGCCGACAGGAGAGAGCGCTCCCATCAGCTTAATAACTGCTGCCTCTTCAAGCGATGGTAGCTGTGT